GGACTGACGGATGGACAGACAGACATATGCCGGAGTGCAAACCTCTTCGACTGTAGGAGACTAACAACTATCAAAAGATATGAAAACCTATTGTCAATATCACATGTAAAAAAAAATTTCATTAGAACTGGGCTCCTAACATTTACATAACAGTTCTATTATTATCAAGAGTGCACATGCTGAAATGTCTCGCCTTCTTTACGACGTTGCTATTATGTTGATAGTCCTAAATATAAAGCTTTACTACAACTATCACATAAACTTAACATGATCCAAGAAAATGAGGTCAAGGTCATATAAACCAAAAGAGAAATACATGTACACCTTACAATCATTCAATACACTAAATATAATTGACCTATTGCTTATAGTTTCTAAGAAACAGACTTAACCAAGAAAACTAAACATTGACCAATGAACCATGAAAATGAGGTCAAGGTCAGATGAACCATGCCAGGCAGACATGTACAGCTTACAATCCTTCAATACAACAAATATAGTTGACCTATTGCTAATTATAGTTGAAGAAACAAAGACCAAAACACAAAAAACTTAACTCTGAACCGTCAAAATGAGGTCAAAGTCAAATAAAACCTGCAAGACTGACATGTACATCATAAAATATTTCTATACACCAAATAAAGTTGATCTACTGCATACAGTATTAGAAAAAAGACCAAAACTCAAAAACTTAACTTTGACCACTGAACCATGAAAATGAGGTCAAGGTCATATGCCACCTTCCAGTTGGACATGTACACCTTACAACCATTCCATACACCAAATATAATAGACCTATTGCATACAGCATAAGAAAAACAGACCAAAACATAAAAACTTAATATAACAACTGAACCATGAAAATGAGGTCAAGGTCAGATGACACCTGCCAGTTGGACATGGACACCTTAAAATCCTTCCATACACCAAATATACTAGACCTGTTGATTATAGTATCTGAGATATGGACTTGACCACCAAAACTTAACCTTGTTCACTGATCCATGATATGAAGTTGAGGTCAAGTGAAAACTGTCTGACTGGCATGAGGTCCTTGCAAGGTATGCACATACCAAATATAGTTATCCTATTACTCATAATAAGAGAGAAATAAACATTACAAAAAATCTTAACTTTTTTTTCAAGTAGTCACTGAACCATGAAAATGAGGTCAAGGACAATGTACAGACGGAAACTTCATAACATAAGGCATTCATATACAAAGTATGAGCATCCAGGTCTTTCACCTTCTAAATTATAAAGCTTTTAAGAAGTTAGTTAATGCCGCCTATGGATCACTATCCCTATGTCGAGCTTTCTGCAACAAAAGTCACAGGCTCGACAAAAACTATTATGAACAAAAGTTCTTAAGGGTTCCACGGAACCCAGTGTCTCGTCTTCTATTGCTAATAGTCGCAGGCTCAACAAAAAATAGGGAAAAATTGTTAAAAATTTTCCTCTAGATATTATATTTTGATAGTAAGAAGCTTCTTTCCAAGTTTGGTAAAAATCCAGGATAGTTTATGAATCTAAAAAATGTTTTAAAAAAGTTAACTGCAGACTGTATGTAATGTTAACTGGAAGAAAAACTAAGTCCATTTATAAGTAATACATCAGAAAAACAGGAATTTTTTTTTTACAAAATTTCCTTCTAGATACTAGCTTTTGGTCTAAAACAAGCTTCTGTTCAAGTTTGGTACAAATCAAGGATAGTTTAAGAAAGTTATCAAATTTTTAAAACTTTAACCACAGAGTGAATGTAATGCTAACTTGAAGAAAAACTAACTACGAATAAACAGGATTTTTTTTTACAAAATTTACTTCTGGATACTATCTTATGATCATAAACAAGCTTCTGTCCAAGTTTGGTACAAATCCAGGATATTTTAAGAAAGTTATCAAAATTTTAAGAACTTTAACCACTGAGTGAATGTAATACTAACTGGCAGAAAACAAAGTCCATTTATAATTAAACTATGGATAAACAGGATTTTTTTTAACAAAATTTACTTCCGGATACTAGCTTCTGTCCAAATTTGGTAGAAATCCAGGATAGTTTAAGAAAATTTCAAAAACTTTAACCACAAAGTGAATAGTTGAGGACGCCGCAACCACTGACGGAATGTAGGATCGCTATGTCTCACTTTTGCGAAAGTCGCAGGCTCGACAAAAACCATGAAAGAGGATCAACATTGATACATAAGGTTTTAACAAGTGAAATAAAATGTAAGCAACAGATGGCATCACCTGGCCATAATTTAACAATGAACACAAATAGAAAACGTACATTTACATCATTGTCAAGTCTAAAAATTAACTCTGTACTTCAGAATCATAAAATTTACTAACTGTTAACAATATACTGCATCAACATAATAATACACACTGGTCAGATATATATATACACCAAGTAAACATCCGAAACATTAATTGTTGTACAATTACATGTGTTTAATATCTGTACATTTATATTTTGATTCCCTCTATATCTCCAAATAGTTGTTTTGTTTTTTCTCATGGCAGCTTCAATATAGAAATGTATTTTTATTTGGAATTCATCATCTTCATTTTTCCTTTAATCCCTACTCCACCTCTTTTTTATAACTGTTATTTTTATAGCAAGTCAGTGGTCATAAAGCTATCAAATGATTCTATCGATTATCCACAAAGTACTGCCCACATGTTCTTATTTGTATCAGTAAGACACGTGCATTTGTTTATAAAACTAACTATCATCAAAACTCATTAACAGTGCAAGATATGTAAATAATTTTTTCTTCTGTGGTTTTGGAATATTAATTATATATATAAGGAGTAACAAAATAAGCTGAAAATGAAATTTTGATAAAATTCAGTTGCTTTTGTAATGTGCTACCTTAATATCATAAAAAAAGTTTGAATGATGTTCAGTGTTTTGTAACATCTTGTAACAGAAATATTTCTCAGCCTTTTCGAGTACGATTTCCAATTTATTTACTGTTTAATTTTGGTTGATCAATCATCAGAACGCAGGCCCCTGTTATATATTCTTGACCAGCTGTATTGGCCCTTGATTCTTCAATCTGGGGTCCAATACAGCTAACCTGGAATCTATAACAGGGCCAACACAGCCAGTTCATTACACTATAGTATGTTACAAAACATGTGCCAATAAAAAAATAAATTTACTGTTCCTGCATTCCTTCTTACAGAATGATAAAACAGACAAAACTATACTGACAGTCGTGTATTATTAACTTAATTTCATTGTAAAAATTTAATCTAGACAATGTGGAGAAATAATGCAAATTTTATGGATCTTAGTTATGAAACAATATTTCTGCCGTAAAAAAATTATAGAAGTTCATTATAAAATCAAGTAAAATTCAAATAAAAATTTCTGTATTTCAATAAAACATACTTGTTCATGTACCTCAAGACCAAGGCTTCCAATACGTTAATATATTCCGGACATTTGTATAATGTCCGGTAAAAGTTCGGCTGGGCAAAGCATGAAACGGACATCTACTTTTTAGTTTTCAAGGCTTAAGAGACGGTCATTTTAACATAATTCGCGATCTTTTTGACCCAACCTTTTGCCTTTAACAGCCACACATTTCCGGTCATAAAAGTGACATGATCATTTAGTACTATCAAAACAACCCCTACTTTAATACCTTCTCATTTTAATCAAGGCTAATTAGTTGTCGAACAGCTGAAATTTACCTGTTCAGGTGACAGGTAAACTATTTGGAACCGGACATTGATCGGTCTATTCAAAGTTATTTTCTTACATTTCAGCAGTTTGCATCTAATCAATTTAGTTAAAAAGATTTAAATTATCAGAAATACGTTTACAAATATGATTTGATGAAAAATATAAAAAGGTGAAAATGAAAAATCGTCATAACCACGTTGTTTGAACCAGAGACATGTCTCTGTTTGAACTAGTACACGTGTGCGCATGTGTGAAATTTAATTATGCATCCTAATTTCTTCAAAAAAAGCTTAAATTGTCATTGATACCTTTATCTCACGTTTATTTCGAATATTTTCTTGAAGAAATAACGTAGAAAGAGCTACTTACACTCATTCATGCTTTGCAAACGTACACAGAATTTACGTACCCGTCTCTGGTCCATGTTTTACCATTGTCAAGATAACATCCGGTTTAGATTTAAAAACAAAAGTAAAGTTTTTGACAACGTTATTTTGCACAAATAAAGACTCTAAGCAGATATAAGTACGTTGATGTTGCACACTTCGAATGATGCACTGCCAATTTAACAGTTTACGTCAGAACTTCGAATTTGAATCAAAGAAAGTTTAATAAATAATATCGGTTTTTTTTTTAATGTCAATCATTGGGATGGCCAACTCGGCAACTGATTACCATAATTGCCTTTTATTTATTTAGTCTTAAGGGATTAAAATCGGGATAACATATAAAATGTCCGGCTGGCTAAAAATAATTTTGGAAGCCCTGCTCAAGACAATAAAGGCTTCAACTTCCTCTAGCAGAATAAATAGATCAATGAAATTAAGTGACAACTCCTCAAGTTGTAGTTCTGAAACATTAAAATATGATCAATATATCTGGTATATAGAAAACTCAATGGGATTACTACATAACTAGGTTTCTAAAATGTAATGGCCTTACAATGACTTGAAATAAGTTCATGTACAAATCGTGATTAAACATAATCCTGATCAACACAAATCACATAAATAATCAATGACAAATCAAACACTGGATTTCTAATAGTATTTCTTTGTCTTTGGTGTCATTGAGGTTGCAACATTTCAGCAACAAAAACTTGTCTTTTTTGTTCACTGTAGCACTTAGCTAAAACCATGAGATTGAATAAAATGGTTGTCTTCTTTGAACACATCAAGAATAATCCAATATTCTTTGAACACACAGTGGCAAATAAGTCCAACTTTTTTAATCTCCTCCATAAAAGAGTTACTACATATTCAAACACTTGTTCAAGTAACATTAGGCTGAGTAAAGAAGAAAATTGGCTCATGCGTTTTTTTTTTTCTACACAATGTGGAAGACATCCAGATGAATGAGATTATGAAACAATTGCTGCCTAGTTGTATGAGACACAGTTGTCAGTGAATGCCTCGTTCATGAGAGAAACTATTATATGATAGGATGTATACTGTTACATTCATGAAGATTCAGAGTCTGTGCTGTTGCTCGTTACATCGTCATTACTATAGCTACGAAACATAGAGGAATACTGGTTTTCGTACATACTTTTTGGACTGTCTAGTAGTTCTAAATCTAAATATTCCTGAAATAAAAAATTTATAACTGAAGAAATTTTCTTAACAATGATTTATAGACATTACATCCAAGGTATTCTTGTTTTTTAGTTTAGGCCAGGGTTTTTTAATTTGTTTGTCTACAGATCCACCAACCCTATTTTTCGATTTGCAGAATAAAAATAAAATTGACATTTCATGCTTTTTTATTCCCGCCGACCCTAACTAATACATTATACCTGAAATATAAATAAAAATAATTTTTTTTTTTAAATGAAATGCACTATAAACACAAACAGAATTGATAACATGTGGTGTTGTGAAAAAATAGATTTAAAAAATAATCTGTATGTCTACGTATCTATGAAAATAGACAAATCGATCATAACTGACCTTGAAATATTTTTGGCGCAAATAATTTTGCGGAGCAAAACCTGTGTTTCAAACCCATTACATTTCCATTTTGTCATAATTCTGTAAGATGTATCATCTCAAAGATGAAATGGACCTGTCCAAACATGGAAGTCGTCAAGTTAAAGTAATGGATATTCACAAACAATTTGGAATTTTCTTGTTTCATAGATAATAAAAAAAAAAAATCATCCATTTGGATATCAAAAACGTGAATGCATGACAACTGATGAATCCAATATCCTCCTCTTTCCAGTGGACGAGTCTATTACATTTTTGACACGAACGGTAAAGCTTATAATTTTTCGTACAACGTGTTTGCAATTTTTATTTTTTATTTTTAGTGCTTGAAGATCATTATTCACTTAGTTTCCTGAAATTGATAGAAAGCTATGCAGATCTGTTTTTTCTAGTTCGTGAAATGACGATTTAATTTTGTCTTTGTCCGTGGACAAAACCCCCCTTTTTGGAATGAGTATGACGACTGAGCATGCATTTTATGTTTATAACAATTGAGCAATAATATTTCATGGAACTAGATTTTAAGAAATGATGACAAAATAGCATACCAAACATATTGTTAGAAAGGTGAAATATATTGTTTTACATGTTTATCGGTCTTGAAAGATATTTTTTTCCATTCTTTTCAGACCAACCGACCCGACTTTTTCATGTGAAAAATCTGTAAACCAACAAATTAAAAACCCTGGCCTTACAGATAATACATACAAAATTACACTGACATTTGTATAGAATAGACATGTTATTGGGAACAAGCTTTATAAACTAAATATCAAACTTTAAATGAGTTAAAACCATTTTGATTATGTTTTTTTTGTTAATAATTCCATAATTCTGTAGAATAAATACTTACTTCCCCTCTGTTTGCCATAGATATCAACATTTTATCTAACTCAATAACAAGTTCATTAAAAGATGGTCGCCCTGATGGATACTCATGCCAACAGAAATGCATCATTCTATTAATTTCATCTGAAGCATATGGAGGTTTGTCCATTCTATGACCTTCTTTTAAAAGTTCAAATAATCTTTCGACTGGTACAGAAGGATAAGGATTTCCTCCGAGTGTAAATATCTCCCACAGCAGTACTCCATAGGACCAACTACAGATAAAAAAGATTAAAATTATTAAGAACAAGGATTAATATATTTATGAACAAATGAGTAAAGCAAAATATGCTTTCATTTCAATCATCTTTGCAAATTTTTTTACTTGAAGGTCCTATAAAAATCAGCCTTCATAAAAATTTCTTTAAATTTCTTTAAGGCCTCTTTTGAGGAAAATATTACTGCTGTAGGGAATGTGATTTAAATTCGTAAAGATGATGTACAGTACAATATGAAACAAGATGAATTAAACTATAGAAGCAGTACATTGGCCTACTGGGTCTTTGTAAGACTTAATCTTGAGAACATCTACATCATGTTTCTTATGTTAACACAAATCCTTTATAGAATCTGGAATCATTTCACCATTTTTTAAGTCTTTCAGTCTTTTTGACTATAAAGTTACATCCTCTGGTCAAAACAGTTCTCTTCTTTTATTTTGTTATTGATATCCATTAATGGCACTTTAATATTTTTTTTTTGGGGGGGGGGCATTGTTGGCAGAGTAGTTACTACTGTAATCACTAGCCAGTCAACACTGAGGTTGTGAGTTCAAATCCCGCTTGTGTGGGTGCACTCGACTCCAATCATAATTGACTAGGATTGTCAGTTTTCAAATCGAAGGTCAGTGGTTTTTTCTCAGTGCACTCCGGCTTCCTCCACTAATAAAAACTGGCCACATCTAAATAGCCCAAAAGCCGTGCTTAAAAGTGGCTTTAAAACACAATCAAAGTGCTGAATAGGACCTGTGGAAAGTTTGCAATGGTAGATGTGTAATATTTCAAATAGGTTGTTAATGTGTAGATCATGTAGATTGGGTGTTTAACTTTTTTTCCCGACTTAAATAAAAAAAATTACTTAATACAAGAAATAATTGTAACATGATGCTGTTACGAAGTCTCCCAAACAGATCTTCCATAATTAGTCATTCCCAGGAAGGGGGTGGGAGTGACCCCAGGGGATTCACCATTTTATTTCATTTGATTTGTTCTATTGTCCCATACAAGAAAATATATGGTTTCGGGGTAGGGATCTTGACTGTTTACAAGTTCTCAAAACAGGATGGGGTGGGGGTAACACCCAGGGACCCCCCCCTATATTTCATTGATTTGTTTTATTGTCCCATACAAGAATATATATGGTTTAGGGGTGGGGATCTGGACCGTTTACAAGTTTTCAAAAAGAAGGGGGGGTGGGGTGACCCCTGTGGACTTCCTCTATATTCCATTTGATTTGTTTTATTGTCCCATACAAGAATATATATGATTAAGGGGTGGGGATCTCGACCGTTTACAAGTTTTCAAAAAGAAGGGGGGTGGGGTGATCCCTGTGGACGTCCTCTATATTTCATTTGATTTGTTTTATTGTCCTATACAAGAATATATATGGTTTATGGGTGGTGATCTCGACCATTTACAAGTTCTTAAACAGGAAGGGGGTGGGAGTGACCCCAAGGGACTCGCCTTTTATTTCATTTGATTTGTTTTATTGTCCCGTACAATAATATATATGGTTTCGGGGTGGGGATCTTGATCGTTTACAAGTTCTCAAAACAGGATGGGGTGGGGGTGACACCCAGGGACTCCCCCTACATTTCATTTGACTTGTTTTATTGTACCACACAAGAATATATATGGTTTAGGGGTGGGGATCTCGACCATTTACAAGTTCTTAAACACAGAGGGGGTGGGAGTGACCCCAGGGGACTCGCCTTTTATTTCATTTGATTTGTTTTATTGTCCCGTACAAGAATATATATGGTTTCGGGGTGGGGACCTTGACTGTTTACAAGTTCTCAAAACAGGATGGGGTGGGGGTGACACCCAAGGACTTCCCTTATATTTCATTTGACTTGTTTTATTGTCCCATACAAGAATGTATATGGTTTAGGGGTGGGGTTCTCAACCGTTTACAAGTTCTCAAACAGGAGGGGGTGGGGCTGATCCAGAGGGACTCCCGCTATATTTCATTTGATTTGTTTTATGATCCTGTGATCATTACTGAAAACCGTGTGTGTCTATCACTTACTGTTTTCAAGTTATAGTCATTTGATAATTTAAAAAAAAAAAATCCCATAGGGTTCTATAGTAAATCCCTCCCTTCTGTTGGCCCCTCAAAATACCCCTAAATAGACCTCAAGAAGAAAAATTATAAGAACTGAGAAAAACAATAAGTTTCCAAACTTTGTTGTGGGCCGAGATGAGATAACGGGATCCTTCGATACACTCTGGCTTTTACGTCTTTAATAAACATAGTTAAAATCGTAGTAAGCGTCGAAAAATGTTCATTCATGAAATATTTTAAACACAGTATTTATTTTCATTTCAACTGGAGGACAGGAGGAAACCCCTGAAACCAGGATTATAGTACTCCCGTTGATATGGATCTCACGCGTGTCTTGGGAATACAGAGAAAAGCATAACGTAGAAACTGCTGCCTCGTGTATACGTGTATTGATTTTACTTTCCGCGCAGTGCAGATCGGCGAAGTAGTGTTTGTGATAGCCATTTTCAAAATGAAGTTGAATTATTTGAATTATCGATGAACATTCAGTACATTTTAATTCAAACTGTAAGCTAATCAAAATAGAAGTAACTCAAAATTTCAAAAGCATATCTTCCTAGAATTAGTTGTCAATCACCAGTTCTACATTATCTAGGAGTAGAACACACATCCTAAAGTAAGATAGTCTGTCACTTCCTGTTTGAGGCTGATGCCTTAGGAAAGTTTTTGCTTAATAGCAAGCTATAGCAAACTTTCCAAAAAATCAAAATCAAATCATTTGTTCTTTGTTGATGTTTCTTACACAATCAATAACTATATATCTTTCTAAAGATAACATTTAACATGCATTTTTGTATGGAAGTGAAAAGAACAACTTGAATGAATAACTTACACATCACTCTTGGATGTATATTTTCTGTCAAATAATGCCTCTGGAGCCATCCATTTCACAGGTAGACGACCCTGCAATATATAAACATATCCATTAATACTGATTGCTTGATGGCTGCTTAAAATCCAATGGCAAGTATAACATGCATGTTTAGGTTATAATGTTAATGATATGAATTCATAATACTTTGTGCTGAATCCTAAACTGAACTGAAATTTTATTATTATACCTTACATTATATAGTAATTATTTAATTGGCTAACACGGAATCATGTGTCATAGTTTAATTTCAATTTTTTATCTAAATATTGGCAGGAGTGATGAATAACCCAGACAAATTGAAGCCTCCATCCAACAACCCTATTATTCCCCGGTGAATAACCCAGACAAATTGAAGCCTCCATCCAACAACCCTATTATTTCCCGGAGAATAACCCAGACAAATTGAAGCATTCACCAAACAACCCTATTATTCACCTGTGAATAACCCTTGTCGTGCTCAATGATCATGAGTTGACTCCCTCTAAAGTATGACGTCACTGCATGAACATCAGATGAACAAAAACACCCGTATGAAATAGGTAGTAGGATTCCACCTAGACACTAGTAGGAAAAAAGATTCTATATAGAAAGTAGGCAGACAGGGAAAATGAACAAAATTCTGACTGGATTTTTTATTTTCCCACTAGCAAATCTTTCTACATGGAATCTTTTTAATTATCTTAAATTGGATTCCTGTTTGCTAATGCCACACATTTTGCTGTGTTAAATGCAACCAAGTTCCAGTTCACAAATTCAAAAGTTGGAGGGTAGAAGAATGAAAAGTTGTGTTGGAACACAATGCTGCAAGGGTCAAACAACTGCAATATTGAAATATGAGGAAATATGGCTCATGTAGATTGAAGGTAAATTTTATACTTTTAAGATGAAATTTTTGATCTGTTTGCCAATATATTTAGTAATCAGTTAATTCAACATTAGTGCATAATTTCACTCATTATTTGTTCATAACTCTTTAATTTCATCTAATCAACATTTTTGCCCATCTACATACATATAACACATTTTCTAGCTTGAATATATCACAGCTTCCTCATGTACATTTCAAAAGTCAACTTTTTTTAAATGAATATATTCCATGCATTTCCTTTGTTCTTTGTTGTTGAGATTCAAACTTAAATGATTGACCCAGTTGTGTATTTGTGAATACACACTTACATTTTGTATATTTTTAGATTCCTACTAGAAAATATTTTTTTCTATGTGGAATTTTGAAAAAATCCTACCAGGTTTTCTAGTAGGAATTTTATTTTCCCGCCAAATTATTCCTGCTAATTTAAATATTCCTACTAAGAAATTCCTGCTAATTTAAATTTTTCTGCTATTTTCTGTGTGGATTCCTACTACTGTCTGACTATAGATTATCACTCTTTTCTGATAGGAATTCAATGCAATATTTCTACTATATTCCTTGTACATTCTGTGTGGAATATTTCATACAGGTATATATGGCAACTGCCAGGTTAGAAGTCCATCAAGTGATGAAGAAATAAGTCCATACAAGACTTGGAAATTCATCTAGTGTCGATGATATCTTTTGTAAAAGGCCCTTTTCAGGGCCATCTATATTTTACAGAAAGAATCTACCTTTGGTTACAAAAAATAGCCAAAAAATTTAAATTAGTAGGAATTTCTTAGTAGGAATATTGTATATTCCTACCAGGAATATTTAAATTAGTAGGAATATAAATTTGGTGGGAAAATAAAATTCCTACTAGAAAACTGGTAGGAATTTTTCAAAATTCCACATAGAAAAAAATATTTTCTAGTAGGAATCTAGAAATATACAAAATGTAAGTGTATATTCACAAATACACAACTGGGTCAACCATTTAAGTTTGAATCTCAACAACGAAGAACAAAGGAAATGCATGGAATATATTCATTTAAAAAAGTTGACTTTTGAAATGTATGAGGAAACTGTGATATATTATCCAAGCTAGAAATTGTGTTATATATGTAGATGGGTAAAACATGATGAGTAGATGAAATTAAAGAGTTGTGAAGAAATAATGAGTAAAATTATGCACTAAATAATTGTTGAATTAACTGATTACGAAATATGTTGGCAAACAGATAAAAAATTTCATCTTAAAAGTATAAAAATTACCTTCAATCTACATGAGCCAAATTTTCTTACATTTCAATATTGTAGTTGTTTGACCCTTGCAGCATTGTGTTCCAACACAACTTTTCATTCTTCTATTCTCCAACTTTTGAATTTGTGAACTGGAACTTGGTTGCATTTAACACAGCAAAATGTGTGTCATTTGCAAACAGGAATCCAGTTTAAGATAATTAAAAAGATTCCATGTAAAAAGATTTTCTAGTAGGAATTAATTAATTCTGGTAGGAATCTTGTAGTAAGAAAATAAATAAATAATCTAATCATAAATATATACATCCTGTCCAAATTCTCACTTAAGATTTTCAAAACAGAAAAAAATCCATATACAGACTTTTAAAATTCCAGCTAGATGTCCTGCCTGTTTTACTTACTTTATGTTGAAAGTCTTCAAGATAAAGGTTTTACTACAAGTATTACATAAACTTAACATTTTTAAAGATCCATGACAATAAGATCAAGTTCAGATAAAAACTGTCACACAGACACATACAATCAAAAAGCATGATTGCTCTGAGGGATAGGATTGCTACTGTTTTCATTGATATTAGTATTATTCTCAAAAATAATTCAACTGCACATGTCATGTATTTTCTATTTGATTCATAAAATTGAGAATGGAAATGGGGAATGTGTCAAAGAGACAACAACCCGACCATAGAACAGACAACAGTAGAAGGTCACCAACAGGTCTTCAATGCAGCGAGAAATTCCGATTCTGAATAGTTTTTCAACTTTAAAAAAATAGCCAATCTTTGATACAAGTGTATGAACAATGTAATTATTGTGTTTTATTTTTGTACTATCAATTCCAAGTTTACTATCCACAGCGGTCACTGATATATTATATAGAGATTCAGAAGGTATCTCACTTCTTACCTTATCCTGACAGTTATCACCTACTTTCCTACGATAATTCTAGGAGGAATCCCAATTCTAATTAATTCAATCTTTAATTTCCTTTAGGTCAGTGGGCATGAATCCATTCTGTACACATTCCTCTGTTTAAATTGCCTTCGCTTTTAATGTTATTCGAAGTCTATTCACAGAATGGGTCAATTTTACTTGTCATGTAGTCATATTTTGATTTTAAATTGACAGAAGTATTGTATGGGTTATGAAACGACTAGCATTCACAACTCTGGGCGATAATATGGAAGACTCCATTTTTGCTGAAGGGGTGTTCTAAATCCACCTTTATGTTGTTGACTGCATTTATTTATTGAAATGTTGCACATGATTTAAAATCATGCAATAACAATAACCCTTAATAGCAGATAGACACATAAAGAATCTCTTGAGTTTCAAATTAATCAATGGAGTGGGGAATCCAGAGCAACCATTTAGTCTGATTCCCCTGGAGGTCAAGAAAACTATACGCATGCGCTTAATTACCAAAACAAACCGCAGAATTATGATTTGTAGCAAGGACGTATAGTATATGTTAGTTAAACGTCCTAGATGGTCCTCCATTTCTTTATTGAAGTTCAATATCAAATTTCAGTTTCATAACGGTAACAAATTGAGAAAAACACCACTTCAGTACTTATCGGACAGAAATAGTTTTCGATTTAACAATCTGTGGAATTCCCTCTGTGACGTGTTTCTAAATATATAAACTGCTTAATTCTGATTTTCCATATTGAAAAATAAACGCATATAACAAAAGGGAGATATCAAAACATGAGGATAATGAGAAGAAAATCATAGGAAAGTTGTTTAAATTCAATCTGTTTTTTGTTTTTTACCTTTTATAACAAGACAATCTGAAGAATCTGAGGATGTTCCTTAATACTTGGCACAAAACAGTTGACGTGAGGGCCTTGGAAGATATTGAAAAGGAGTCAATGGTAAAAGTCTACAGATTGCTTGACAGCAATCGTATCCCAAAAACCAGAGGTTTTCAAGAGCCAGGAGTGTGTCGCTCACCTAGGTATATGGGCATATATCAAACAAAGCAAACTCTCCAACATTGTAGACGAGAATAGACTTCATGACAAAAATCTTTATTTTGTTGATCTTGTATTAATGATCTTTTAGTCTGTTTAGTTTCTTTGACTTATTAATAGATCTTGTCTTGCTGATCATTTTTGTGATTAAGAGTTTATTTATCTATCATAATTTAAATCATATGATGCATAACAGAAAAAAAATGTTTCTCTCTATTAAAATATCGTTTTCATGATAATAGGCTAAAATGGAAAAAAAATCGTAAAATTTGCCATTTATGGGTAATAACTCCTATAAGAATTTGTCTTACAGTTTTGACGTATATATGGACAATTGGTTAAGCTCATTATTCCTAACATATTTTTTCTTGAACAGATCTTATGAGTGCCAATGAGACAACTTTCCATCCAGGTCACAATTTATAAAAGTAAACCATTATAGGTCAAAAAACGGTCTTCAATACAGAGCCTTGGCTCACACCAACAGCAAGCTATAAAGGGCCCCAAAAAACTGTTAGTGTAAAACCATTCAAAGGGAAAACCAACGGTCTAATCTATATAAAAACCGAGAAACGAAACACTTATGAACCACATCAACAAATGACAACTTCTGAACATCAGATTCCTGACATAGGACAGGTGCAAACAATTGCAGCAGGTTTAGAAGTTTAAATGGTACCAAACCTTCACCCTTATCTGAAACAACAGTGTTACATCACAACTTAGAAAGACACACTATAAAATATCAATTGAAATGGCTTAACTCAATCAAAAGACGTAGTAACACAAATGAACATACACTGAACGAATAAATTTGATCTATGATGCAATGTACATACAAAGTTAATGAAAATTAGGGATGAATAATTAAAGTAAAAGTATCATACCACTGTGAAATGTAAAACACTTTCAGAAAAAAACATCAACCTTGAAAAATAATTCAGCTATTTGCAATAAAATCATACACAGGTAAATGAACATTTTTTTGTTGTTAGGTATACTTCTTCTTCTTCTTCTACTGTATAACTTTCCGTTTAGGAACATCAAGAAATTTTTGTATATCAATAAAACTATTCTATAACTTGGTACATGTAGGGTGATTATCAACAATAAAACTATAAAATGGGTGGGCGATAAAACTTTGTGTTCTTCATGTACAGGTGCCGGAAGTGTGATGTATATACAGTATAGAAGGAGACAAAAAATTAATGTTGATGTTCATAGTACGAAAAAGAGAAAATTTATAGTAATTCCAAACAATTATCAAAGTTGGTATATAGACCAGATATAACCCTCAATAAGTAAACATTAAATAACAAAAAAACATTACAAATAGTATCAACAGGTCTATTTATAACAGTTCATAAAATAATAGACAAAACTTGCTTTTTACCCCTATGTTCTATTTTAGCCATGTCAGCCATGTTGGTTGGTAGGCAGGGTTATCTGACACATTTTTTAACAAGATACCTTAATGATGAGTGTGGCCAAGTTTGGTTGAATTTGTCAACGTAGTTTCAGAAAAGATTTTTGTAAAGGATAACAAAAATTTACAAAAAAATTCTTAAAAATTAACTATGAAGGGCAATAACTCCTAAAGGGGGCAACTGACCATAACCCAATATTGATTTAGGCCAAGTTTGTTAACATTTGGTCCAGTAGTTTTAGAGGAAAAGATTTTTGTAAAAGTTAATGGACAATGACGACAACTACAGACAACTCACATCAAGTGATGAGAAAAGCTTACTTGACCCATAGGGCCAGGTGAGCTTTAAATGTCTTACATCTCCAGTCTTTCTGTAATAATCCACATTGGTAAGATTTCTGGTCAAACCAAAATCTGCTATTTTTAGTACATCGTCTTCAGCAACTAACACATTTCTTGCAGCTAAATCTCTGTGAATACACTGATAAATAAACAAAAACTAATAAATCATATTTAAACTTGACATACTTTAGAATACAGAATTCAATACTTAATAAATTGCTTTGCCGAGCACAGCTGGATACAACCCCAGAGGTCCAACCCTGATCAGTTGGGGCAAAAATGGACACAATATTCGCACTTGATACAGGTCTGAATTTGGATTGAAATTAAATATTTGACACATAATAGGTTTCTGACACAAAGTTACTGTAGTCAAAAAACTTGAATTGGTTGTGTGATTTGAATTTATATTCATTTTTTTGCTTTTGTGCAATAATGCTGTTGCGAATTGACCCTCCTCCCCCACTAAAAAAAAAAAAAAAAAAATTTTACCTCCCCCCTTTTTTTTGCAAAAAAAAAAATATAATATTTGAAGATTTTCTTTTCAATTTCTGAAATCTGGAGAACAAATTGTCCCCATCCCATCCCTTTTCCAAAAAAAAAAACTTTCCCTCAAGATATATATGGTCATAATCTCAATTCAAATTTCCAATGGAGTTTGCAACCATAATAACCCATTCAAATACATTATAAAAGTCTTAAAATACAAAATGACATACATAATCATGGCTAAAATTAAATTACCTTCATCAGCATTTTTAAAATAGTAACTTCTAAAAATAAATTGACAGCTAATCACCTCAAGACAATACAACATTTCTTTATACATAATTCAAAAGCAGTGTAAGGGAGGTAATTCAAACACGACATTGTCAATGTTGTGTTTGAATGACCTTCCTTATACTGCTTTTAAAATATGTTTTGTACTTAAGTAATTGTCCATTAACCAGGAAACCCTTGTTTTCCCCCTTTTTTTTCCCTAGTTCTTAAACGGTTTGAGCCATAACCCCCCAAAGCTAATTCTAACCATCCTTTTGTGGTATGGAAACTTGTGGTATAATTTCAGAGAGATCCATACACCATTCCACTAGTTATTGTCTGGGAACTAGAACAAGAGTGCACACGCTGAAATGTCTCGCCTTCTTTACTAATCATTGATATTAAGTTGATAGTCCTAAATATAAAGCTTTATTACAACTGTCACATAAACTTAACATTAACCAAGTAAACTAAACTTTGACCAATGAACCATGAAAATGAGGTCAAGGTCAGATGAACCATGCTAGGCAGGCATGTACAGCTAACATTTCTTCCATACAACAAATATAATTGTCCTATTGCTTATAGTTTAAGAAAAACAGACCAAAACACAAAAACTTAACACTGAGCAATGAACCTTGAAAATGAGGTCAAGGTCATATAAACCTGCGGGACTGACATAAAGATCATAAAATATTTCCATACACCAAATATAGTTGAACTTTTGCATATAGTATTAGAAAAAAAGACCAAAACTCAAAAACTTAACTTTGACCACTGAACCATGAAAATGAGGTCAAGGTCAGATGACACCTGCCAGCTAGACATGTACACCTTACAATCATTCCATACACCAAATATAGTAGACCTATTGCATACAGTATAAGAAAAATAGACCAAAACACAAAAACTTAACTATAACCACTGAACCATGAAAATGAGGTCAAGGTCAGATGACACCTGCCAGTTGGACATGTACACCTTACAGTCCTTCCATACACCGAATATACTAGACCTATTGCTTATAGTATCTGAGATATGGACTTAACCAGGAAAACTTAACCTTGTTCACTGATCCATGAAATGAGGTTTAGGTCAAGTGAAAACTATCTGACGGGCATGAGGACCTTGCAAGGTACGCACATACCAAATATAGTTATCCTATTACTTATAATAAGAGAGTATTTTTAACATTACAAAAAATCTTAACTTTTTTTTCAAGTAGTCACTGAACCATGAAAATGAGGTCAAGGACATTGGACATGTGACTGACGGAAACTTCGTAACATGAGGCATTCATATACAAAGTATGAAGCATCCAGATCTTCCACCTTCTTAAATATAAAGCTTTTAAGAAGTTAGCTAACGTCGCCGCCGCGGTAGCCGCCACTGCTGCCGCCAGATCACTATCCCTATGTCGAGCTTTCTGCGACAAAAGTCGCAGGCTCAACAAAAATGCTTTATTGTTGCTTATCCATTCACTATATGAGCAATCACAAAGCAATTTTTTTTTCCAATACAAGTTGACAAAATATATATTTTTCAGTTTAGCTTTTAATCAAATATGAAGTTAAGATACAAATTCAGAAAAATTGTGAGTAGATATCAGAAATTCATTTCCATGATCTCTTATAAGGTATAGCAAAGTTCTTGTTTTCTTTTGAAAGTCCCAAAAGACATTTGGATAAAAAAGTGCACAATAACATGAAGCTACGAAGATTTTCTTTATGTTTAAATAATAAATCAAAGAATAAATTAGCATTAACCCTTTAACTGATAGCTGCCCCAACAGAAGCTACTCTGAGACAATGGCTTCCCTGGCTACTATGACTCAAGTGGGAGATCTTCATAATAAATATCAATAAAACTAGTGTGTAGTTATTTTTGTCTTTATTTCATTCACTAACACCATGTTCACAGTTTTGTTCATGTTTCTTCATAAAAATTTAAAATTTTCAAATTTTCGGCATTATTTAGGTGGAATTCTCAAAATTCTACTTTTTGACCCAAAATTGTAATTTTTTAACCCAAAACTGCATAAGTTTGAAAAATTTAATGAGGCTGTACAAGTTCCTTACACTGAACGATGTCCATTCCAAGTGTTTTGTACATAAAACGGCATTTTATTTCAAAAAAGTATACTAGTTTGGCTTCAATTCTTCCATATTATTTTTAAAAAAATTTTCCCTTATTTCAAATTATCGTAAATTCCGTGAATTTCATCTGATTTTGACACGGTTTTCAACAAACGGAAGCGCCATGTTTACACTTCATCCAGGTATCAACAAAGAAAGATAAGTTATGTTTGCAATGTTTTGAGCGGGAAATGTAAAAGAGGTATTCGGATCCCGGTAAAACGGGACTCATCGTCAGCTGTCTGAAGTGTGAATCCCGGGAAAACCGGGACTCGTCGGCGAAAAGGGTTAAAAGTCCATTAACTAAAATTATTCACAAAAATAGTTTAAATTTAAATCTAACCTTTCTAGATGCCAGATATTCCATTCCTCTGGCTATCTGGTAGGCAAATGATATTAAGTCTTTTTCTGTCAATGGTTTGAATGAGCCCTTTTCCAAACCTGGCTTTTGGTATCCTGCAGAATTAGGTGGTCTTCTTGATCTCAAGGAGTCTCGCAAGTTACCATGTGGCGCAAATTCAACCAATACATATAATGGCCCTGAAATTATACAATTTTCACACAATTTCTAATACTTTTTCTTCATAGTTTTCAACAGAACGTGATTATCCCAAGATTGACAATTGTGAATACACATGTACACTACTAAAACTTTATCATGTCTTTATTATCATCAGATTACATAATATTTAATATCATCGTATAAATAATTTAAAACTAGAGGCTCCAAGGAGTCTGTGTCGCTCACCTGATATTTTCATTTACAATTGATGCATAAATTAATGCAATCATCATACTTTTGCTTTCGTTTCAGAGTCGATGATATAAGCTAAAAATTTGCATTTTACCCTTTTGTTCTTTTTTTAGTCATGTCAGCCATGTTGGTTGGCAGGCAGGGTAATTGGACACATTATTTAAACTAGATACCCTAATGATGATTGTGGCCAAGTTTGGTTAAATTTATCTCAGTTGTTTCAGAGGGTAAGACTTTTGTAAAAGATTACAAAAGTTTACAAAAATTGTTAAAAATTGACTTTAAAGGGCAACAACTCCTTATGGGGTCAACTGACCATTTTGATCATGCTGACTTATTTGTAGATCTGACTTTGCTGAACATTATTGCTGTTTACAGTTTATCTCTATCTATAATATATTCAAGAATTATAAATAACCAAAAACTGCAAAATTTCCTTAAAATTACCAATTCAGGGGCAGCAACCCAACAACGAGTTGTCTGATTCGTCTGAAAATTTTAGAACTGATAGATCTTAACCTGATGAACATTTTTTATACTATCAAATTTGGTCTAATTACTTTAGTTTCAAAGAATTAAACCAAACACTGCATTTGACCCCTATGTTCTATTTTTAGCCATGTCAGCCATGTTGGTTGGCAGGCGTGGTCATCGGACACATTTTTAAACTACATATCCTAATGATGATTGTGACAAAGTTTGGTCAAATTTGTCTCAGTAGTTTCAAAGGAGAAGATTTTTGTAAGATTACAAAAATTTGTTAAAAATTTACTATAAAGGACAATAACTCCTTAAGGATGTTCGCTTGTCATGTTTTGGATTTTTTGTCAGATTTTCAGAATCCTCTGGTTTTATTCATTTAAATGCCTTAAAACATTTTGCCTATTTACGTGATCAATTGACCATTTTGGTCATGTTGACTTATTTGTTGATCTGACTTTGCTGAACATTATTGCTGTTTACCGTTTCTCTCTATCTATAATTAAAGAACCTTAGTGATCGCGCTCACATACCCCACGCCCCCACATTGTCAATGGACAAATAAAATAACTCTAAGAAAAAAAAATTGAATCATAATTTCCTGTCGATATGCACATCTTCATAGTATGTCCTTATTATCTAAAAGGTTTCATGAAATTCTGTTGTGAGGTTTCAGAGGAGTTGCGATGACAAACTGTCGCAGTAGTAAATTGAGGCGAATAAGTTCAAAGGGGCGTAACTCATAGAAAAAAATCTGAATCATAATTTCCTGACGATATGCACATCTACATAGTATGTCCTTATTATCTACAAAGTTTCATGAAATTCTGTTGTGTGGTTTCAGAGGAGTTGCGATGACCAACTGTTGCAGTAGTATATTGAAGCAAATGAGTTCAAAGGAGCGTAACTTCTAGAAAAAAAATTGAAAATAATTTCCTGTCGATATGCACATCTACATAGTATGTCCTTATTATCTACAAAGTTTCATGAAATTCTGTTGAGTGGTTCCAGAGGAGTTGCAATGACAAACTGTTGCAGTAGTATATTGAAGCAAATAAGTTCAAAGGGGCATAACTCCTAGAAAAAAAATGAATTATAATTTCCTGTCGATATGCACATCAACATAGTATGTAATTCTTATTATCTACAAAGTTTCATGAAATTCTGTTGTGTGGTTTCAGAGGAGTTGCGATGACAAACTGTTGCAGTAGTATATTGAGGCAAATAAGTTCAAAGGGATATAACTCCTAGAAAAAAAATTGAATCATAATTTCCTGTCAATATGCACATCTACATAGTATGTCCTTATTATCTAAAAAGGTATTCATGAAATTCTGTTGTGTGGTTTCAGAGGAGTTGCGATGACAAGAAAAGGACTGATGGACTGATGGACAGACGGACGGACGTACATTGGTCCAGGTGAAATAAAAAAATCCAACCTTGACCAATATTTCAGATCGCTTTTAATCCTTATAGTAAACCACTTACCATTTTGTGTACAACATCCCAGCAAACTAATGATATTTGTATGGCATCCTATAAATTTCATCACTTCCATTTCTTGCATTAGATCTGTCAATTCTCTATCAGTTGCATCCTCTGAAATATTAAAATAATATTGACAATCATTAACTGATGAAACCATTGGTCACATTCAAAAAAGAATAATTTGTTTTCATATCATACAATCATTTGTTTCTTGAACACATTTAAAAGTTTTTGTGTTTTTAACGCCACTTTTAAGCACCACTTGTGGGCTATTTCGTGGCGGCCAGGTTTTATTGGATGAGAAAGCCCAAGTGCCCGGAGAAAACCACTGACCTTCGATAGGAAAACTGACAATCCTAGTCAATTAAGAATGGATTTGAGTGCACCTGCCTGAGTGGTGCTCGAACTCACAACCTCAGTGTCGACTGGCTAGTGATTACAGTAGTAACTACTTAGACCACTCGGCCACCGAGACCCCTTTGGAAAAAAAGAAGAAGAAACCATATCTATATGTCATAATGTCAACTTTTTTTTTTGTGTAATTATTAGTATACTGATGTATTACAATATTTTTCCAGTATTGATTATGCCTCACCAACTTCATTCCCCATTGTTTCAATGAAAATATATAGAATCTCAGTAAAAAAAAAAATGCAAATTTTTCAATAAAGACAAAAATGATGAAAACAAATCAATTCTTATTTCCCCAAATTTCATGCTTGTCTAATAAAAAAGAAAGCTTAAGCAAAAATCCAGTTTTCAATAATATTATTTGATATTTGATCTAAAATATAAAAGTAAATTTTACCCTTCAACATCTTGACTGCTATGGCAGTTGTTGGAGCTTTATTCAAACCAACAGCTTCTGCTTTCACCACTTGACCAAATGCTCCTTCTCCAAGAGGCTCACCAAGTGATAACCTGCAAACATAAATTTAATTATTCCATCCCATTCATTTAGATATTGAGATACTGCTTGGTGCAACCATATTAACTAATCAAAACTGTAACAGTTGTACACATATTTTTAAACCATTTATTACTAATTAGTCACAATTTTCAGGGTTTTTGAACAATTTTGTACAGAGACATTTTTTTTTTATCTAAGTAATTTGAGAATGTTATTTCCTCTTTTTACAAAATACCAGAAAATCAAGTTTCTCACATTATATTGCATGATTCCTGTATATATACTACTGTGGATTCATTATTATTCGTGGGACACCAATTTTCGTGGTTTTCGTTGGTACAGGTGAACAACGAATTTAAATGTTCAACGAATCACAAATTTGCTATTTGATTGTATACAGACTTTGACAAAACCACGAAATCAAATATCCACGAAGATGTAAGATTTCCTCAATCCACGAAAATTGATACCCACGAAAATAAGTGAATCCACAGTAAATAATGTTAAACCTGGAAAAAATAGAGATTTTGGGAAAGCTTCCTGTAATACTTCATACTACAGTGGTGATATCTATTGGCTTCATCTGAAAAATTTTACAACCTGTAGACCAATCAAATCTCAGGTCATTTAACACAGAAGTGGTTCAATTATACAGCTTTTAACCCAAGAAACAATCTGGATTCCAGAAACAGTGAGCAATGCTATTTGTGGGTCGACAGATATAAGTTAAAATGTCAAGAGTCAATATATATGTCTATACAGTATAATTATTTTCATGGAATGGTCAATGTGGTGCTTTAACTTACTGTTCTCTTTTAAATTCCCAGTGTTTGTCAAGAGGGAGATCATACTCTGACACCATGGTCAAATCTGATGACACGCGTCGTCTTGGACCAGGTTCAATTCTGATTGTGGGTAAAACAAGTGGTTGTGTGCCATCATAAGACTTGTCTGGGCGGTTAATCTCATTCTGGAAATAAATGCAAAACTTTCTGATATGTAATTAAAATGTATAACCTGTTTCAAATTTGTGTGCAGATCCATGTAATTTTTTTTTAATTATTATGATTTTGTAATTAAAGAACCTTAGTGAGCGCGCTCACATACCCCACGTCCCCACATTGTCACTGGAGAAATAAAATAACTGTAAGAAAAAAAATTTGTATAAGAAAAAAAAATTGAATCATAATTTCCTGTCGATATGCACATCTACATAGTATGTCCTTTTTATCTACAAAGTTTCATGAAATTCTATTGAGTGGTTTCAGAGGAGTTGCGATGACAAACTGTTGCAGAGGTATATTGAAGCAAATAAGTTCAAAGGAGCGTAACTCCTAGAATAAAAATTGAATCGTAATTTCCTATCGATATGTACATCTACGTAGTATGCCCTTATTATCTGAAAAGTTTCATGAAATTCTATTGTGTGGTTTGAGAGGAGTTGCGATGACAAAAGGTTGCGCAGTAGTATATTGGGCAAATAAGTTCAAAGGGGTGTTACTCCTGGAAAAAAAATTGAATCGTAATTTCCTGTCGATATGCACATCTACGTAGTATGTCCTTATTATCTACAAAGTTTCATGAAATTTTGTTGTGTGGTTTTAGAGGAGTTGAGATGACAAACTGTTGCAGTAGTACATTAAAATAAATAAGTTCAAAGGGGCGTTACTCCTAGAAAAAAAATTGATCCGTAATTTCCTGGTGATATGCACAACTACATAGTATGTCCTTATTATCTAAAAAGGTTTCGTGAAATTCTGTTGTGTGGTTTGAGAGGAGTTGCGATGACAAGAAACAGGACTGACGGACGGACGGACAGACGGACCAACGGACGGGTCAAAAACATTATACCCTCTGCAACTCGTTGCCTGGGGTATAATAATAATAACCATCATAAGAGTAAGAGCACACAGACTATAATCACTAATAATAAATGAAGCAAGTCTAGATGCAAAGCTGTTATAAATATTCAAAACTGAAATTGACAAAAACTTCCTTAAAACTAAAGATTCTGTCTAGATTAGATATGTTTATTTTACATAATCTAAACATTAATCAAGTTTGGTTTTGTTTTACATAATTTATAATAATGACCTTTAGCAACTGATGAACATTTAATGAACCTCAATAATCTTCCTTTCTTTCAGACTTACTTTGTAACTTTGACACGGTATTGACAACTTTGCCATCAAATTTCACTTCCTAATTATAACCAAATAAATCAAACATTTTCTTTTTTTTTTGTGCACTTGTATTTTAACTTATCAATAATAAAATATGTTTGAAAATTGAAACTAACCTGTCTCATGACAATTACTCTTTTGACATTTCTATATTTGCTGGACTGTACCCTCTTGTAACGTCTGTAACATATAAAGAGAAGGAGTAACAGGATGAGAATAACTACTAATGTGACACCACCAATAATGTAGATAACTATTCGCTCTTTATTGTTTGTCCCTCCTGACCTATTGTCTACTGCTTCTGCTTGTTTATCTGCAATAAAAGTAAAAGCATTTGTAATCAAATTCATTTTTTTTAAATGCACAATTTTCAAATGATGAAATATTATGTGTTTGAAAGGAAATGGTAAATATATGTCAGCCCAATAGCTGGTTTATCTTCAATAATAATCAAAAGTATAACCAATTAATTTTTTTTTTTTTCTTAATTATACTTTTTCTTTTTAAGTCTTTATTACACAATACAAACTAGACTACGTGATGCCCCCACACTCCACTCTGAAGTAACTGTATTATAACAAAGTCAATGTAGGACTTTCTTTGAGATATTATTGTGTCTGGGAGACACATATGATGCCCCCACAGATGCAAAGTGTTGTTTAAAAATAACTATCTAACATTTTACTGCTTATACCTCAAAAATGACAAAGTTAAATAATCTCCCAAAAGAGCAAATATTACATGTATTAATAAAAATCTAAAAAACGTGACCACATGCACACCTTCAATATATGTACATACAGCCAGCAAAGTGAAAACCTTTAAGCATTCAAATTGTAGGAGGAGTTATCTGGAAACGCTTCTCTAATGCAAGTAACTACTCCAAAAAATGACAAAGTTCAACTACCGGTATCTCCCAAAAGAGCAAATATTAATAAAAATCAAAACCCTGACTACATGCACACCTTCAATATGTGTATAAACAGACAGCAAAGTGAAAACTTCCTAGGATTCAAACTGTAGGAGTTATGCGGAATATAACTATATACCCATAATGGGACAGATGGATGGACGGAAAGACAGGGTTAAAACAATATGCCCTTTCAGTTGCCGGGGCATAAACAGAATTGAAGTTTTAGAGAAAACTGTAAATTTCAAGAATTCAATTTAAAGCAACATAAAATATCCATTGAACAGACAAATCGGCACATATCATCAAGGAGGGTTCCAGACAGCATGAAATGGATTGTTATATCCCTGACGGTGTTCAAGAATTTTTCCCTATTAAAATAGTTTCAAATATTAATTTTCATGATGCCAAACCTCCTTTTTATATGACAGTCTTAAAAAAATTATTGATTATGATGTATCAAAATTGATAATCACCTTCTAATGATTTTATATGAATATTTTGTTCTTGCATTATATTTCTTGATGAAAAACAAAACATTTCCCTAAGCCTTTACCTATAACTGTTAGCCAGGCAGTCTGATAATATCTACCAAGTGGATTAGAAATCAAACAACCATACCATCCAGCATTATCTTTCGTTACATTCTTTATTATTAGTATTTCTGGGTGACTTAAATTCACCATGGATTGCTAAAAATTCAAAAAAAACAGCATAAGAGGATATCTTGTTAACAAATGTTTTGAAAACCAGTGAGATTTTGTAAATTTTTTTTTTATTTTAGAGTTATAATTACAAATGGAAACAGTATTTCAATATACAGTATTAGAAACATTAAAAAGTAAAATTAAAAAAAAAAAGTGAACTAAGACAATAAATTATCAAGAAAGTGAAAAGAAAACAAACTATCTCAATACACTAGAGAACGATTAAAATCACATTATTTTCTTAAGTCACTTGAGATGTGTGATGCAGTCCGTTTTTTTTTTAAAGTTATTACATACAATTGTGACTTTTTTAACAGCAACTGATTTTTACCTAATGTAAGGATTTTTGTAAAATTATAAACAGTTATCTGGGTTGGCAACAATGTCGATTCATGAAGCTAAAAGAAATTGATAAATTTTCAAGATAAACATGCAAGGATTTTCCTACAATCCTTTCTTCTGGCTTATCAACAGACAATAAGAAATTTATTTTTAAGAAACATTCACATAAAGATCATTCAGACACACAACAACTGTGAACATTTCATAACTCAGTGTGATGTTTTTCAAGCTGCATATCTGAGTGTGAAAATCCCACCTTCTACTTGTGGTATTGAACCTTGTGGTACAATTTCAGAGCAATCAAAATACTTATACACAAGTTAAAGTCTTGAAACTAGAAAAATGCTTGTTTTGGCCCCTAATTCCTAAACGGTTTGGACCATCACCACCAAAAAAAATCGGAACCTTCCTTTTGTGGTATTTAATCTTTTGGTGAAATCTCATACAGATTCATACACTTAACAAGAGGCTCTCAAGAGCCTGAATCGCTCACCTGTAATGTTTTGCTTAAATCTTTCATCAATGATGTTTTTTGCTTTCTATAATATACATATTAATGTGTGGCTTAAAAATTCCATTTAAATGTTCTTTGATCTGTCACATTTTCTTAAAAAACAAAAAAAAATGCATTTTTACCCCTATGTTCCATTATAACCATAGTGGCTATGTTTAAAATTTATACTAGATACTCTGAAACTTATTCAGCAGTTTCATAAGGAAAAGATTTTTAAAGTAATCAAACTAGATGAACAAATTGTGAAAAATTGTCTTTTAAAGGGCAATAACTCCTTAAGGGGTCAATTGAAAATTTTTGTTATATTATCATATTTGTAGATCTTACTTTGCTGAACATTTTTGCAGTTTACAGTTTATCCTTATCTACAATAATATTCAAGATAATAACCAAAAACTGCAAAATTTCCTTAAAATTACCAATCTAGTGGCAGCAACCCAACAATGGAATGTTAGATTCATCTGAAAATTTCATGGCTGATAGAACTTGACCAAATGAACAACTTTACCTCATGTCAGATTTGCTCTAAATGCTTTAAGTGTTTGAGATATAAGCCAAAAACTGCATTTAACCCCTATGTTCTAGGTTACAAGAGCGCAATTATTCGTAATGCATTTTCCATAGGGTACAAGTGGTGTTCCGTATTTTTTTCTCTCGAGGACTACACAAACTAGGGAATAACTGGTAGCAGTTCCTGTTACTAGAAATGCCAGTGTTGCATTACAACCAAAAAAATATATATATTCATGCGGCAAAAATTGACTTAAAATGCAGTTGAAAAAGATGGTCTATTTTTTTCGCTTAATGAAAAAGGCATATTTTAAATGGCCCGACGTGCAGAAATGGAAGATATTTTCTATACTTTGCAAAATGTGAATTTAATTTTCTGGATTTTATAAACATAATTGAATAAACTTTTGATTAAAAGTCATTCTAATTCTGTATCATCCAATCAGACTATTTTTAACATTTTTCAAAGCCTTATTAAAAAAAAATGTCATTTTTCTATAGGTTACAAAAGCGCAATTATTCGAAATGCATTTTCCATAGGGTACCAGTGGTGTTCTGTATTTTTTTTCTCAAAGACTACACAAACTAGGGAAAAACTGGTAGCAGTTCCTGTTACTAGAAATGCCAGTGTTGCATTACAACCAAAAAAATATATATGGTCATGTGGCAAAAATTGACTTAAAATGCAGTTGAAAAAGATTGTCTATTTTTTTCGCTTAATGAAAAAGGCATATTTTAAATGGCCCCGACGTGCAGAAATGGAAGATATTTTCTATACTTTGCAAAATGTTAATTTGATTTTCTGGATATTTTAAACCTAATTGGATAAGCTTTTGATTAAAAGTAATTCTAATTCTGTATCATCTAAAGTGCAATAACTCCTTAAGGGGTAAATTGACAATTTTGGTCAATTTAACTTATTTGCAGATCTTACTTTGCTGAACATTTTTGCAGTTTACAGTTTATCTTTATCATTAATAATATTCAAGATAATAACCAAAAACTGTAAAATTTCCTTAACATTACCAATTTAGTGGCAGCAACCCAACAATGGGTTATTAGATTCATCTGAAATTTCCAGCGCTGATATAACTTTACCTAATGAACAATTTTACCCATTGTCAGATTCGCTCTAAATGCTTTGGTTTTTGAGATAAAAGCCAAAAACTGCATTTTAACCCTATGTTCTTTTTTTAGCCATGGTGGCCATGTTTTTAGACGAAACAGAAAATAAAACACATACTTTCTTATATAGGAATTGGCTCTGTAGTTTCAGAGGAGAAGATGTTTGAAATAGTTTTCACTGGAAGGACGACGACAAGGGACGCTCACCCTTCCTTTGGAACTAAAGTCATTGTCCGGAAACCAAATGTCTTTGGAAGAAGACGTGATAGCAATAATTGAACACAATTTTGTTGCGGTCTTATAAAAACCCTTAAACAAACAGCAAAATATATATCTTAAAAGTATTTTTATTAAATTTAAAAATCATGACTGTTTGGTCTGTTTCATATAACAATATGTAGTGCTTAAATAACTCTTTCACAATTATTGTCAATATACAGTGATTGTGAGGTTTAAATAACACGGGTAAAATCTTAAATCATTTTTCCATTTCCATTTCCATTTCCATTTTCATATGAATTTCATCAATATTTTCATTTATCCAGTTTGAAAGTTAATCATGTTAATAGAAACATAGTAATTCAATTTATGATATCAATTTTTTATTTAAAGGTTAAACAAAAAATTCAGTTATAATGGTACTATTATTTTGAAGAAAATAAGTTAGAAAATACAGTTCTAACTAATTTTAAGGGGCACTAGCTAAGTGATACATAAAAAAATTTGAATTATGATTTTTTTGTTCAATCATTAATGAAAGTGAAATAGTGAAATAATAATTCGCTAATAGCTGCCAGTATGGTTCAATTTTGCCAAAATAAGCTTAGAAACATCGATGATGAATTATTCACTTGCAAGTGAATAATTCGACCTCATTGGATCCGTATTCATGTGAACTTCAATTTAATCCCTTAGCTAGAGATGGATTATGCATGATTGATGGTGCTAGGCTATTAAAAGAAAAGAATGTCAACATTGAAAGTGAAACAAAGGAATTCATTTGATTGAATGATTTGATCCACAAAAAATCATTCTTATACAGGTAAAATCCAAAATTTACTTATTTTTTTTAACCTTAAAATTGAAATCAAACAGACATAGGAAAATCCATTTGCATGAGGTCCATATATCTATTTATATTTATGTTTATGTTTATATTGTGTTATGTGACCATGGGTTGTTTTCATGGTCATCTTGATAGTTAATTAGATGGCATCTAGACTAAAATACACAAAAAAGGAAGCTACATATTATGGAGCCCATGCCCTGTAAATTGTTTATTTTATATTTTTTATAATTTGGATAAATGTTTTACATTGTTATAAATCTATTATGAGAATTTGAGTCAAATCGTTGAACATGAATTTGACAGCTAGTGCCCCTTTAAAGCATCAGATTTTTTCCATATGTAAGGATTTTAAGAAAGTTCAAAACTGTCATCTATTTAGTTGACAACAGTAATGATTCATGCAGTTAAAAAAATTATTGTTTTCAAGATAAACATGCAAAGAGCTTTTCTACTTTGTTTTATAGGCGTTTATAGACAAAAATAATAAATATATATTAATGAAACATTTAAATACACAACAACTGTGACCAATTCATAACTCAAGCAGCATACCTAATTGTGAAATTCACACTATTTCATATACAGTACATTTTGCCCCTGTTAATATTACTCTGATAAAAATAGTTTCCTTTTGGAACGACTCAGACATTAATAAAATTTAAAACATAAAAAAAAACGGATTTATCGTTTTAGACTGAGTTAGCCTGAGATCTTGGCTCACCACTCAACTGATTTGAAGAGGAGGTCAGGCGAGGATGCCACGCTTAAAAGCTGAAACGTGGAAATTGCCATCACCATCCTAACATCATGATAAAAATAAATATTTAGTCATACTGATTTTCTATATTGTAAAATAACTGCAAACAAGTGAAACTGTGAGCTATACTGCTCACTGATGATACCCCCGTCCAAATACTTGATGGTAAACAGGAAGTTGTTGAGTAATGAATCTGAAAATGCGTGGACAGATAGAGGTAAAACAGTATACCCCCACTTTTTTAAATCACGGAAAGCAGGGGTATGATAAAAAAGAGAGATTACAACACATTAGAATTTTGAGAAGAAACTTAACAAAAATAGCTGTTCGCTCCAATGTGTTTATTTGAAGCACATATTGGTTAATGTAAGAGTTGTGGAATGTACCAACAAGAGTGCACATGTTGAAATGTATGGCCTTCTTTACTAAGCATTGATATTATGTTGATAGTCCAAAATAAACTAGAGGCTCTCAAGAGCCTGTGTCGCTCACCTGATTCTACTTTGGGTTTGGAAATCATGTAAAAATAGATTAAAATTATAACAGATACCCTAATAATGAGTGAGGCCAAATTTGGTTTAATATTGGTCCTGTAATTTAATAAAAAAAATCCTGGTGGCCATCTTGAACAGTAAATCGGCAACAAAGTAGCAACACTTCATCAGCAC